GCTTTCTCTCTTTCTCTCTCTCTCTCTCTCTCACTCTCTCTCTCTCTCTTGCTTTCTCTCTCTCTTTCTCTCTCTCTCTCTTGCTTTCTCTCTCTCTTTCTCTCTCTCTCTCTCACTGTAACAAATACTTACCAAATTGACCAACCTCTATTGTTGAATCGTTTAAAAATGTACTAGAAAACTGAAATTGCATTGTTACTAGACAATCTTATTCGCTAAACGTCTGCTTCGTTCTTATATCGATAAGAAAAACGCTAAATATAATGAGGTTAGCGTCATGAAATTGTCCGTTAGCTCGATTTACAGAGAAAAATTCTGTGGCTCATTGCGTGTTGAAGTAGTTTCTTTCCACGTAAATTGCTCTGTCTGACGATGTTCTTTAATCGTTTTAATTGTTAATTCATTGTTAATTGTGTTATGTTAATTGTATTTGAGGTTGTTGATACTGTAAAAGTTCGTACTAACTGTTGCCTTACAAACAATCACACGGAGAAATGTTCTCACTCATCTGGCGAAAGTTGCGATACTTTTTCTTGAAGGAAACCTCGCATACAACGAGGGCATGCTAAGATGTAGTAACTCAGATTTGGATGGTATTGTTGTCGTGTTAATCTCGGTGCTAGAGTAACCTCTGATGTTCACGCATTTCAGATTGAGAATTGTGCTCAGCCAGCTGTCATATCCAAAGATCTGTGTGTCGCCATCTTTGGTCGAGACGCACGTACAGCGTCTGCCTCTAGGTAAGTGCCGTGGTCTCACACAACAGCTGCTGACGTGTATACGCATAGATAGATACTCCACGTGAACAGACGTCACTGGTAGCATGTACGAAAAGAAGGCCCAGGAGTCTCACTCTAGATGTAAAGTTTGAATATGAGTTTCTAATTTCCAGCATGTTAACACGTAATCTGATTGCTCGCAAAAGTATTTTAGCTTTCAAATTTAAGATGAGCCTTTTGGGGTTGTTTTGAAGATATGTGAACTTTACGTTCCATCTTCTGTATCAGGTCGTTAGATAGACTAGAACTGAAATACGTTGGCTGTAGTGTGATAGTTGTTGTGTCCTGTCCTCTCTAGGATATAGTGTACATGACCTATAACCATGACCAGGTTGATTGTCCTGTATATAGCTGAATGACAACTGTTTCCTGCATGCTGACTTGATTACTATTTTGATAATCTATACAGTCGTGATGAATGCACAATACGATTTATTTGTATTTAAACTAAATTTTATCGCCAAGCTACTAGTAGATATGGTCATACGTGCATTTCAATGCTAGAAATAATTTTAGATGGGCTTCTATGTATTGCGTGGTCAAATGCGTATGTCGATCTATAGTTTACTTTTATTATTATATATATTTATATTATTATTTTATGTTTGCTATATATATTGAGTTTGTATTAGAAGTTGCTGGTTGGAGGTGCATGCCTGAGTTTTGTGAAGTAGTGTAAAACAATCACAATCATGATGCTACTGTCATGAGTCGTTAGTTGTTCCCCAGCTAATGTTGTCACCTTTATGAGTATGTTTGCACGTAGCATGTCAGTGTCACATGCAGCTTGATCACGTTTACGATCCGATCCGCATATATAATTATTATGAGTTCGAGTTATAATTTTCTCTAAAGTTACGATCAGCATAATTATTGTAGGCGAGTTATTTTCTCTAAAGTTTGGCTGCATGTTTGACATCCTTACTTATTGTAATTTTGTGTTCCCTGCAACCCTCGGGGCAATAATCGCTTCACAACTCCCCTGAAATTTGTTTTTTTCACATTGTTTTTGAGTTTGCCGGTTCACATTGTTTGTGAGTTTGCCGGTTCGCATTGTTTTTGAGTTTGCCGGTTTGCATTGTTTTTGAGTTTGCTGTTTTTGTGCTTATGTGTGTTTTGCTGCTTTTTCTCTTTGTCCGTCTCACGACTCGCCGATTCTAGATCCTCGCTGGTTGCGATTTCTAGATCACTGAAGAATTTTTTCGGCGCGGGATACAAGGCCCTAGACTGCAACCGCGTCACCGGCGTCTATGAGCTGGTGCTTAAGCGCGCCACAGAGCCGGGTGAGTGAGGGCGCAGACATTGATGATGGCGCCCGTCTATGTCGCTTGATCGCGTTGTTGTTCGGTGAACTGTTGATGAGAGATTCGGCAATCTCCGAGCAGATGGTCTCTTGATGATCACGAGTAGCTAACAACAAATTTATATACTTACATGTACGTGTGTGTGTGTGCGTGCGTGTGTGCGTGTGTGCGTGCGTGCATGTGAGGGTGTGTACGTGTGCGTGAAAATGGGAAAAAATGAGATAAATAGAAAAATATAAATGTGAGGAAAATTTACGAAGAAGTTTTATACTATATTTTTTACCAAGAATCTATGCCACTCTATACAGGACTTTGTCGTTCTAACTTAGTGTCGTTGGTTTCCGCGGCAACCACGTTATACTAATAATGGCGCATCGATCGTCACAGGAGTGCAGCGACGTCAGCGTCGCGTGCTCGACACCAGCTCCACCTATGTGCGGGGCGAGGAAAACCTGAACGGGTGGCGCCCTCGTGGTGACAGCCTCATCTGGGAGCACCAATGGGAACTGGAGAAGTTGACCAGACTAGAAGAGGTGAGCCGCCGCTGCTGCTGCTGCCGCTGCTGCTGCTGCCGCTGCTGCTGCTGCGTGTAGCACCGTCGTTAGAAGTCCGAGTCGATCTCTTGAATGGAAGGATGGAGTACAATGAGTGATTGAAGAGAGGGAGAGGGGTTCTATGTAAAGGAACGAGAGCAGGAAGCAGGTGGGGGACAATGATAGAATGGAGGGCTGGGTAGTGGAGCGTCACTGTGACAGAACGAGGGAGTGTAGGTTTCACTTGAAGCCCGATGGCCAAACAAACTCAAACGTGTACGGATGACCTGTTATCGTGTCCTATCTCAGCAGGATGGCAGGATAGTAGGATGGAGTAGCAGGGTAGTAGTTGTAGGTAGCAGTGTAAGTACACTGATTGGCCGAATCACACTCCACTACGCGTTGCTTACATACACTACATAGCATGTGCCTTCGAATCCACCTCGCTGTCAGGATTAACAATCTGCGATCTTGATCAGCGATCCACCGAAACAAGCGGACAGCTGTATCTGCGTGCTGGTACCGTATCGCGTCGCATGTGCTGCGAGAAACATTTACTTTACATAATTACTTATAATATTAATCATTGCATAATTACTCAACATCTTACGTTCGTTCTTGTCAACACGATGCGTCATTGTCGCTCTCCTCGCGTGTTTCCGCAGGTTGAGCGCGCTCGACACGTGCTGCTGCTGCGAGAAAAGATCATCGACGACAAATGCACGCTGAAGGAAGACAAGCACGTCGCAAACCTCGTTGCCAAGGCGACGGGCATCCCGGCGTCTCCCAGCAGGAAGCCGAGTGTGGAGCCGGAGGGGAAGCAGAGCTCTCAGAAGGAGAAGCTGCAGAAGGACGAGAAGGAGGAGGACACGGGCAACAGGGAGCTGTACCTCACCTCCAAGTGTCTGAAGTTGCTGCAGCAGGGCAGGCTGCCTCTCGATCCGACACCGCCGACCGGCGTCAAGGTACGATCTTCACCTGGTCCGCGGTCTCTACGCGCTAGTGTTTGTTATAGAGAGTGTCACAGCTAGCATTGACTATAGAGAGAGTCACAGCTAGCATTGACTATAGAGAGTGTCACAGCTAGCATTGACTATAGAGAGTCACAGCTAGCATTGACTATAGAGAGTGATGGCTAGCATTGATAATAGACTTGTATTTGCTATATAGAGTCCGATAGCTAGTGTCAAGCACGGTAGTATACTCAGGAAACTAAAATAAAACGAATCTACAAATCTAGTAGCACTCTTTAGGAACTGGCAGGGGTTTCCCATATATAAATATATACATACATGTATATATATATATCAGGAGTAGATAATAGGGAAGGAGTGTGACTTCAATAAACAAGGGAAATTCGTCATTTACTAGCCTTATAATACCTACGATTTACTACGCGTAACTCATCCAACTTGAGCTCAAATCGTACACAGTACATTCGCTTAGCATCGTGCGAAATCATTAATTTTCCTCGTATACACC